TTTTAATATTCAGCAGGTTAAGGAAACTCATGGTCAGCTTTAGAATTTTAGTCACTGCTGAGCTTTCAAGGTGTCAAGACCCTAAAATAATATGAACAGCAGGAGTACTAAATCTTTCATTATTTCCAGTTTCCCCTTGAGCATACTGACTTTGCAATAAAGAAACTGTCATTTACACTCTTCTTTATTGCAAGGTGGGTAATAGCCACAGGGAGAAAAATAAGGAACTGTGTCAAGTTAGCCTAACTGCCATTATGATTAATGTGTAATCATTGCACATTTGCATCTACTCTTTTCATATACAGGTACTTCATAGATTGGAAGAGTGATGGGGACAGCTACTTTACAGTAGATGGAACTGAAGGAACCATCGCCACTAATGAATTACTAGACAGAGAAAGCACTGCGCAGTATAATTTCTCCATAATTGCGAGTAAAGTTAGTAAGTATGGCATGGACAGAATCAATGTTATACTGCAGTTCTTTGGATTTAAGACTCTTAAATGAGTCCCTGCTGAGGTGTTTTTCATTTTTGGACTGACAGCTGAGTGGTCTCCCAGGGAAACTCAGAAACCTGCTCCTTTTCCTCATGGCATAAGTCCAGAGAAATTGTGACAGCTGCCACTGAGCCCTGTTTGCAGGATTGCAGGAATATCTAGTAGTGCATTTCATTGTGTGACCTCATCCTTTTCTGTCCTTTACCTTCAGAAATCCACCAAAGTCTCAACCTCTCTTCCACACAGGATTCTTGTATATATCGTTGGGAGTTTCACAGAGCCAGGCGAGAGGAAATAATTACCATATAAAAATCACCCATTCTGAAATATTTTCTGAAATTGAAGAGGGCATTTTAAATATCATCCATCTTCCCTCTCTCCCCTTTTCATTAAAATTTATATTTCAATGAATGTCACTGTGGAATATAGGAATATAGGAGTTTTAATTGCAGTTCTTCAAGGAGTTGCTCAGAATCTACAGTAGCATTAGGAATTGTTCCTTGTATCAGTTTCTGCTTGGTTCAGAAGAGACTCCTCTAGACTGAAAGTGATTATAGGTTTTATTTGTTTGACTGAACAATCAAGGATATTATCACAACTTCTTCAAGTGATAGATTAGGGTGGGAGTGGTGACTTTGGCTCTTGACATAGCTGTTTTTAATAAAAGCACATCTTCCCAATCCTTCTGCTTATGGTCTCTTGAAAGGTTTAGGAAAATCCCATTTGAGTCTCTTTCATTTTGTTTCCTCTTTATTTTGTTTGGTGCATCTGGTGCAAATATATAATACTCTGGCAGCTAATTTCACCTTTCAGTGTAAGGAAGAGCTGTGAACATTTCTGTTGAGGGGTTTTGATCTGTCTCAACTCAGTGGGGGCGTAAATATGAAACAGTTTTGTTTATCTTCAACAACTGCTTCCAAATATGGATAGTCATACACCTTCTCCCACTCCCTAGTGATGTCTTTAATCTTAGGCTATTCTGATTATTAAAAGTAAGTCTAACATTGAAGAACATGCAGCTTCTACCTTGTTTGTTGGAACTCTTACTCTTAGTGTTCTGACCTGTCTTGTAAGAAGTCTGAGTCCCCTGAGCCTGCCCAACTGGACAGGTCACGTGGTGGTGCTCCGGTTGACAAACTCTGCTCAGCTCTGCCTTCCAAACATATCTGCTATCGATGTGTGAGTGATACCATCTTAGAACCTCTAGTCCAGTACACTTGGTAGTGAATGCTATCGTGTAAACTTCATCAGTGCTATGTGAAATGGAATTTTAACCTAGCCAAACCCTGCCGAGATCCTTACTCACAAAATATTATGAAGAAATATGAACATATAATTATTTCAAGCAACTACATTTTGGAGTTGTTTGTCATTACATGGTAATAGATATCTGGAGAACCCAAAGACAGCATAAATT